ATATCCCGTAATATTTAGCAGTCCAAACGTGTCTGTGTATACCATTTCTCTTGTATCAAGGTCAATATCCCATAGTATTTAGCACTTCAAACATATGTCTTTGTATATCATTTATCTTTTATCTGAGTCAATATTCCAAGGTATTTAGCAGTTCAAACATATGTCTTTGTATATCTTTTATCTGAGTCAATATTCCAAGGTATTTAGCAGTTCAAACATATGTCTTTGTATATCATTTATCTTTTATCTGAGTCAATATTCCAAGGTATTTAGCAGTTCAAACATATGTCTTTGTATATCTTTTATCTGAGTCAATATTCCAAGGTATTTAGCAGTTCAAACATATGTCTTTGTATATCATTTATCTGTTTACCTGAGTCAATATCCGGTAGTATTAAGCAGTTCAAACATATGTCTTTGTATATCATTTATCTTTTATCTGAGTCAATATTCCAAGGTATTTAGCAGTTCAAACATATGTCTTTGTATATCATTTATCTTTTATCTGAGTCAATATTCCAAGGTATTTAGCAGTTCAAACATATGTCTTTGTATATCTTTTATCTGAGTCAATATTCCAAGGTATTTAGCAGTTCAAACATATGTCTTTGTATATCATTTATCTTTTATCTGAGTCAATATCCCGTAGTATTAAGCAGTTCAAACATATGTCTTTGTATATCATTTATCTTTTATCTGAGTCAATATTCCAAGGTATTTAGCAGTTCAAACATATGTCTTTGTATATCATTTATCTTTTATCTGAGTCAATATTCCAAGGTATTTAGCAGTTCAAACATATGTCTTTGTATATCTTTTATCTGAGTCAATATTCCAAGGTATTTAGCAGTTCAAACATATGTCTTTGTATATCATTTATCTTTTATCTGAGTCAATATTCCAAGGTATTTAGCAGTTCAAACATATGTCTTTGTATATCTTTTATCTGAGTCAATATTCCAAGGTATTTAGCAGTTCAAACATATGTCTTTGTATATCATTTATCTTTTATCTGAGTCAATATTCCAAGGTATTTAGCAGTTCAAACATATGTCTTTGTATATCTTTTATCTGAGTCAATATTCCAAGGTATTTAGCAGTTCAAACATATGTCTTTGTATATCATTTATCTTTTATCTGAGTCAATATCCCGTAGTATTAAGCAGTTCAAACATATGTCTTTGTATATCATTTATCTTTTATCTGAGTCAATATTCCAAGGTATTAAGCAGTTCAAACATATGTCTTTGTATATCATTTATCTTTTATCTGAGTCAATATTCCAAGGTATTTAGCAGTTCAAACATATGTCTTTGTATATCATTTATCTTTTATCTGAGTCAATATTCCAAGGTATTTAGCAGTTCAAACATATGTCTTTGTATATCATTTATCTTTTATCTGAGTCAATATCCCGTAGTATTAAGCAGTTCAAACATATGTCTTTGTATATCATTTATCTCTTTACCTGAGTCAATATCCCGTAGTATTAAGCAGTTCAAACATATGTCTTTGTATATCATTTATCTTTTATCTGAGTCAATATCCCGTAATATTTAGCAGTTGTGTATTTTCTCACATTTTTTGTACTGTGTACTCCACCACGGCGTTATACAGAATGCTTTGTATGATTGTATTATTAGAAATGGTATCTAAGTGATGGCTAAGACTTCTGGGTAAGGACAGTTTTAATATGCACCTAATAATGCGTTATTGGCTAATGAGGCTGTACACGACATGTCTAAATGCTCTTGGCACAGGCATACATCAAATTAAGACCGTAATACTGAATGGCAATTTGTGCACTAGTGTTAATTTATTGCTGTTTTATAAAAAGTGTGGTGTGAAAGGAATGCCAGAATTAATTAAACAAAGTAAAATATCGAAATAGAAAGTAGTAAACTCTGCTTTAAAGTTGTCTTTGTTTTTGTAACCTTTTGCCGGTACTTAAAAGTACAGCTGGTTCAGTGAATATTTCTTTTCATGTTTTAATTTCTTATTACATGCAGCTTTCAGAGGTCAGTTATTATACGGTAACGATTTTCCAATACAGAACAGAAGAATACCTGAAATGACTAGATTTTTTTTCCTCAATATGATTGAACGTAACATCTTAATTGGTTTTATTGAAAAAATTAATTGTAAAAAATACAGATCAATTTTAAGGCCTTATTCTTGTCTTGCATATCAACTTGGTTTTAATTAGGAGAGAATAACACAAAAATATATCACTTAATGGTAAGATTTGGAACATAGTATTGTTATTAAAATATATAATTGAATTTCAATACAATAATTGCGATAATACTTAATCACATATATTCTTTTACTATTGCCATGAAAATAACATTAACGTCTAATCAACATTGGGTAAATTGGTGATCTGTGCTTTTGGGAGCGGACAGGACAACAAATAAAGTGTGAACAGAAACTGATGTGGAATGATTAATCATAAAATACTTCATTGAAAAAGGCAAAAAATTTCTCACTTTAAGTGTCAAAAATGTCTATTGACAAAGAAAGGAAGGTGCCATCAGATATCCATCCATTTTTAGGTCATTTGATCCAAAGGGTCAAGATGACCTATAGCCATCGTGCTTCGTCCGTCGTCGTCCGCCGTGCGCTGTCCGCCGTCTGTCCGCCGTCCGCCGTTCATTCAAACAACTTCTTCTCAAATACTAGAAGGTCTAGGGGGCTAATACTTGGCACAGAGCATACTGGCATGGAGCTCTACCAAGTTTGTTCATATGAATGACCTTGACCCACTTTAAAGGTGACAGGGGTCAAATATCTTTTATCTAATGTCAGATGACCGTTAAGGCCCATGGGCCTCTTGTTTTCAAATAGATTTATTTTAATTATGTGCTAATTAAATTGACAGAGAGTGCTGTGAGATGAAAGTTCATGACAATGTAAAATGTGTAACTTTGAGCTTTGATGTTTCATGAACTTTCCTGGACAACCGTAATCACAGGCTCTGTGCCAATTGGCTAATTAGTGGCATGATGAATCGTACAGGTGTAGAACACTAATTTATCACTGGATATTTCAGCTGATTTTATTTAGAGTGAAACATGACTTCGTTAACAGAGATGATCTTTGTGATCTTCAAGATGCAATGTTCTAATAATCATGAAACACATTATTTGAATATCATTTTTCTATTCCAATACTTTCCTATCAAACAAATACTTTAATATTTGAATATAATTGTTGACATTCGAATTGGGTCTTAAGTACAATTATAAAACCATGTTTCCTTGTAATTGTTAGGGCACCTGCGACAGTCTCAGGATGACCCATTGCGATCTCCTTTTGTCCGCGTTGTAAACTTTTAACATTTTGACTTCTTCTGGAAAACTCCTGTATAGATTCCAGTGAAATATAAAAACATTCTGCCAAACCAAAATTGTAAATCTACATGGTTCCCAACCCCAAGGGCCCTGAGGGGCAGGTAAGGGTTTAATCCCAGGTATGATAGAATCAAGTACACTTCATGGATGGAAAGGCCTTCTGGTGCTTTACCAAAATTGTAAATTTCATGAACCAAAGATCTCACGTTTCCCCTTAGTTTACTACAGTTTGATTATTTTCTTTTGGAAATAGTTCAAACCTGGTAAGAGTTTAAGATGACAGTTAAATGAGATGCACAACTTGACCATGGGTGACCCCCCAGGGGCTGTTGGGGGAGGGCAATAAAAAAGTCAAATTGACTGAAATTTCAAAAATGTTCTACTGCTTCTGGATGGAATACTTTACATGGGAAAATTCAAATCTTAAATGTAATTTCTTTGTCTTCTCTATGCTAAGTACAAATGAAACAACATGTCAAGTACCCATTTGCTGTGATAACCTGTTAAGATAAGCAGTCAGTGGCATTTAATTAGTCTCTGTTATTGCAAGGTTATAGTATTTTTCAGGTTATAAGCTGCATTAGTGTATAGAAGCCACAGGGCCAAATTTTCGCGATTTTAAAAATTTTATCTATGTATAAGCAGCACCCTTTCTCCCGATATGGTGACCACTATTGTTGTTTGATATACTGGTAACAGATGATGGAAGGCAGTTCATATGAAGTAGTAACTGTTATGTTGACCAAAGTTTGTTGATATAACAGACCATGGAAGATCATCAGTAAAACATTAAATAAATGTTTGCAAAGGAATTACACACAAACAATCTTTTATTTTATTGATGTATTTCAAAAATGGAAAATCCCCCCTCATCCAAGTATCACGATGGATGAGAGGGATTCTCTGTAATGAAGCCCGGAGGCTGGAGAGTTAAATAATATGCACTTGTCAACCTGTTGGGTGCGCGACACTGAAGTTCAAAGTTGAAAATTATCTTATCGATATTGCATTGCACGTGCCTGACCCATGTAAGAGGTCACCATATAAAAAGACATGACCAAGCCTAGACACACGCTTATTTCAAACAGAAATGTTGGCAGATTGTGTGCAACTATAGGGTGGGAGATCCAAAACTAAACAGCAGAAATAGAAACCCAGAGACTTGGGAGGGTATTTAACTCTCCAGCCTCCGGGCTTCATTACAGAGAATCCCTCTCATCCATCGTGATACTTGGATGAGGGGGGGATTCTCTTCCATTCAGCCCTACAGCTTACTAGTTAAATAATATGCACCTTCAAAGAATCCGCCAACATTCCAGATAACCATGAAAAAGAAAACCAAACTGCAACTCAAGTTCACTCATTCATTAGTATTTCAAAATTACACTACATTTCACAAAGTCTATATCATTGACATCTTATCACTGCCCTGTCTGCAGAACACTGGTTGAAAATGAACCCGGGTCATCAATATCTCTTAAGTAGAACCTCCTAAAGCTCTCGGCTGATGCCCAGTTTGCCGTTTCCAGTATGTCCCTCAAGGATGTCCCCGCCGTGTATGCTGCCGACACAGACGCTCCTCTAACTGAATGAGGTTTAAACTGTCGATCAATTCCAGCCGCCATCATCACTTCTCTCATCCATCTTGCCACTGTGGAAGTGGACACTTGCAAACCTCTTCTGAAAGAAACTAAAAGTTTATTACTCTTCCGTATGTTTACTGTCTGTGACACATAATATCTTAAGGTTGAAACTACACATAATCTTTCCTGAGAATATTTGTACAATGTTACTTTATAAAATGGCTTTGATGGCTTGGATGTTTTCATAAGTTCTGGGACTGTAAAAACAATATAGTGTCCAAAATCCTGCATATGTTCAAGGTCTAAATTAACCAATGTTTGTGCTCTTTGTGCTGTTGTAAGTGCTATCAAACAAACTAATTTCCTGGTCAATGAATCCACCTCCAGGGCTGTCAAAGGGAACATATCACCCAAATACTTCAGCAAAGGTGCCACATCCCATGTCGATGAATACCTGGGCTTAGGAGGATTAGTGTTGAATACCCCCTTCATAAACCTAGAAATTAGGGCATTGTTCATCAATACTGTATGGCCTAGTAATGGCAAAGTCTGGGACAACATACACTTATGTGTATTAATAACACTGTAAGATTTCCCTACATTAAACAAATGAGTGAGGTAGGAAATCACTTCCTTGATAGTGGGATGATTGGCACCAACCTGTCGTTCACCACACCAAGAGACCCAGTTATTCCATGCCAAGTCATACTGCTTGGACGTGGACTGTTTCCAGGAGGAGAAGACAAGTGTGGCAGCCTGTCGTGAAAAGCCCTGCTTCTGGAGAGATCTCCTGACACGCAACATGCGATCAGTCTCAGGCTGTTTCTTAAGGGATGCGGCTCCCCCTGTGGGGACAATAGCAAGTCTCGCCACCTCGGCAGGCGTGCGGGCGCATCCACAACAATATTTAATAGAGTAGGTAGCCACGCTTGACTTCTCCATAAGGGAACGATTACTATTGCCATACTTACTTTGTCTTCCTTCACTTTGTGCAGAACACGGCTGATCAGACTGAAAGGAGCAAAAATATACGGTAAGTAGTCTGACCATGACATAGAAAAGGCATCATAAAACCAAGCATCTGGATCAGGATACCATGAGACAAACTTGGTAACCTTAAAATTCAACCTACTTGCAAATAGGTCAACATCTGGATTGAAGAAATGACCACATATTCTGTCAAATATCAGAGGGTGTAATGACCACTCTCCCGAAGACTGCATTGACCGTGATAAGTAATCAGCATCAACATTCAAAACACCCGGTATGTGGCAGGCAGAAATGAAAATATTTCTTTCCGTACACCACAGCCATATCTCTTTTGCTAACTCATTCAGCTCTGTTACATTTCCACCAGGCTTATTAACATATGAAATTGTACAGACGTTATCCGTCACAACCCTGACATGAGTATCAGACATGTCTGAACAAAAACATCGTAATGCCAACCAGACAGCTTTTAATTCCAAAAAAATTATGTGATGTTCACGTTCTGCTTTTGACCAAAGACCTTTTGTTATCTGAGAGCCAAACTTTGCTCCCCATCCATCACCAGATGCATCAGTTTCCATAATCACATCTGGATCACTTGGTCTTATCGCCCGACCATTCATACTGTTCACCTTATCTCTCCACCATACTATCTCCGTTTGTGCCAACCTAGACAAACTGACCTTGTCGTCATAAGACAAACCATTATGTAGGGCTGCTGTCTTTTCCTTGTCTACCAATCTGTAAAATAGCCCTGACAGCCGAACTGCTCTAAGAGATGACGTAAACAAGCCAATGAGACTAGCAAGTTCCCTTAGAGAAATTGACTTTTGACCTAAGACATGGGAACATGCATCTATGATTTTCTTCACCTTTTGTTCTGGTAACGAAACGGTAAATGTGATAGAATCTATCAAGTACCCAAGATGAATGACCATTTGACTAGCAGAAAACAAAGATTTTTCGGAACTAATCTGGAACCCAGCAGATTCCAAAACTCCAGCTAACACCCTACAGTTCCTTTCACAAACCTCTCTGTCAGCAGCCTTGACCAAAGAGTCATCTATGTAATAGAAAGCATGGATACCCAAGCTGCGAACTTTAGCCATAATTGGCTTCAGTACTTTGGTAAATATCCGAGGGGCACTTGTCAAACCGAAAGGCATAGCCATAAACTCATATAGTATACCTCTCCATTTGAATTTCAGGTATTTCCTATGATGTTTGTTCACTGGTATACTGAAATATGCATCCTTTAGATCAATAGAAGTGAAGAAATCACCTCTCTCTACAGATTCTAGTACAACATCTAAGGTCTCCTGCTTAAAATGGTGGTACACCACAAACTCGTTCAACTTCCTCAAATTAATGACTGGCCTAAATTTACTATTTTTCTTTTGGACCAGGAACAAATTAGAAACAAATTCACCTTTCTCATGAATAGACTGAGTTATTGCCCCTTTGGATACTAAATCATTCACCTCAGAATCAACAATCTCCATCTCTTCCTTACTAAAAGCTACTGGTCCTGGCAATTTATGTTGCACAGGGATTTCTACAAACTCAAGTGTAAGACCACGCACAGTATCCAAAATCCATTCATCATCAGTCAATGATTTCCAAAATTCTAAACGCTCTCCGATTCTACCAGATGGAACACTCACCTTAGGGGCTATTCTTTTTTCTGTGTCTGGCTCTGGCTTTGACTTTGCTGCATGTATGCGGGTCGCCGTTGTCCCCGGCCCCGCTGGCCCGACCGTAAAAAAGGCCTTGCTGAGCCTCTGTACTGGCTATAGCCCCCTCGCCCTCTCTGGCCGCCACTCCAACCTCCTCGCTGTACCTGTTTTCGTGAAGACAAAACATTGAAAGCCTTATTAGCCTCAGAAATGTCTCTCACCTTCCTTGCAAGATCATCCCCAAATAGATTTGAAGTTATTGGCATGTCTTTCCCACATAAGGCATGATATGATGGCGGGAGGGCTTGTCTCATAAGAAACCTACGTTTCACAGACAATGTATGTACTGCATTCCCTAGCATGGACAGAGCATCAATACACAGAGGCCTGAACTTCTCTCGAAAGTCTGGATGACTCATAAGAGCCTCAGTCAGCCTCATCACAGGTACCATACCGTCAGACACCGACTTCTGGGCCTCTTTAAGTTGAAAATCTCTTGCCTGTAAAGGCTTACCAAGTTTACCCCAAATCTCAGGGTTACATCGTGGGACGGTCATATCGGCACAATTTGCCGGTACAGGGTATTTTTCTGCCATTTTAGAAACGTCCGACGTTTTCCTACAAGCAGTATTTACAAGTTTGGCAAGTCCCTCGTGAACACTAGGGCCCAACTTTACATCACCATATACATAGTCAGGGATGGCGAACAAGTCCTCCATATGACCTTCCTCTGTGGGTAAAATATCAGAATATATATCATCTAACTCAATGGAAGATTGTTCTGTATCTTGAAGACCCAACGGGTCCGTCATACTAAAAAAATCTGAGTCAAAACTGTCAACAACATAATCATTGCCATACCCACCAGCCGTTTGGTTTCCTGTACGGGAACTCGCCCGGTCCCGCTTAACGTCTGCTAACTGCTCCTCCAGAGCCCTCATACGTTTCGCCATGAGTTGAAACTCGCTACCAGCGGCAGCCTCAGTGCAGACGGGACGTTTCCTACCCCCACGGGGCAAAGGAACAGTCGAGGCATCGCCTCCGACGCCGCCATATTTGTCATTCCGAACAACGTTCGGTGACTGCGGCTGTGCAGAGTCCTTATCACTTGCACAAGCGACAGAGTCGCTTAGACCCGAACTCAAATCGGGAAGGGGTCCCGGAAAGAAATCATCACACCCCTCTGCCTCCGGGATGGAGAGAGAGATCATCGTCAGACTCACAATTATCGAAAGTCACCGACAAAGGCAACCGTTTACCGCGAGCCTGCTTACGACGCATAACCGTACAGCTGATAACCAAATGTAAACAAATGAAATTCGCGGAGCGAAGGAAAGGAATCAATAAAAATAAGTTCAAATGGCTGAAACTTTACCAAGCAAATGCAAATCGCGGACGCGAGACCCGCAAGATATCCTTCCCTTCTGGCTTTATGTCTGTCACGCACCCTGACTGACAAAAAAGCGTGTGTCAAGGCTTGGTTATGTCTTTTTATATGGTGACCTCTCACATGGGTCAGGCACGTGCAATGCAATATCGATAAGATAATTTTCAAGTTTGAACTTCAGTGTCGCGCACCCAACAGGTTGACAAGTGCATAGTATTTAACTAGTAAGCCGTAGGGCTGAATGGAAGAGAATGGGTAAATTATCACGAAAGATTAAAATGGTACGTCATTATCTATTATATGGTCTAACATCTTTACAATTAAAAACATTCTCGAGTAGACAGGTCAATGCAGCCCAATTAAAAATGTTTAACGGTGAATGGCTCATCACATCCTATGCACCAAGGATTCTCTTCGCCTATCAACATATATGAATGTGTAAGGTATGTGTAGCCCATCCGAAGACGGGCACGGACCACTTCGTCTCGGTGGTTGTCTCTATAGCTTACTAGCTACCTTTCGATCACCAGCCCAACATTTTGCCACTAAACCACTACTAAAACCAATGTACGTCTTTCTCATGCTTTTAATGCAAACCAATCGAATATTGATCGTCTTTTTTTAAGTTGGTTTTAGATTTCATACTGTTTAATGTTCTATCAATAGACTTTAAAGCCGACTTTATAGTGCTATCACACTGAAGTATACTGCTGAAGACATTCAGTACTTTCCACTCAGTCATATTATAGTGAAAGCGAGAGAACTAATCGTTGCTACTCTTACATAATTTAAATCAATATTTATTGATATATGACGTGTGTTCGAGGAAACTACTTATAATCCCGCCCCTTGATAAATTTCACAATCCATTCTTCCGCCATATGAGAGATTTGTTCAGTACTGTATACCGAGTAGTTTCGCCACTTTTACTTTTCGGTCTTTTCAAATTCACGAAAATTCCCTTCATAACAAAACTAATTAAACTGAGCATACTTTGCTTGCGAAAATATATATTTTATCATTATTAATGTGCCATTTTGTCCTTAAATGAACCTGGCTGTTGACAGGTCGTAACACAACAATAAACTAAACTGACCAACGAAAGTCGTGCGTTGTGGCTACATTTGTTCCAATCTTGAAGCCGTTTGTCGGTTGCTAATGTAATTGAATGAATATATGAAGAAGAAGTTGTAGTATGAGTGATATGTTAAAAATTCGCAATTTGATGGAAATCATGGATCAAAACGTTGCTGGCACCTCCTTGTGTTGTTCTTATTATTAATATGTTGTCATGTTCGAGAAATGATTATTATTTGAAATGTCTGTCTTATCCGTTTAGGATGCTGACATAAGATTTTTGGTATATCTTTTTCTCGTGAAACTCCCTATCTTGTTTAAACTAACAGAATCATTTAAGATTGAACCCACATAAAGCGAGACATTTTAGCCCAGGTAAATATGTAAACAAAAATGGCTGCCAGTTTTCACATTTTATGCCATAAAAATAAGCCTTCGTCCGTGGGCCGTCGTCCGCCTTGTTTGGTAGTTGTTATCGATGTTTCTTGAGAAATGCTAAAAACTCAAATTTCATATGAAAGCCCTAATCCTACCCCAGTGGTTCCTCGTTGCACGTCATTATTTTGTTTCTTTATATCATAATTTCACGTATAGGTTAAGTTTTCATTGTTATTTCTATAAAAGCCTGGATCGATAAATGCCGGTTTCTCCATTTGTCCCTCATTATGTATGCTTAGCTTTGATCCGGTAGAAAAAAAATGAATATCTCTAACAAAGTATAATAGGAGGAAATATTAGATAAAATGGACAAATATTCAGTTTATATAAAACTAATAAGGACAATACATTTTATGGGCGTCAAAACCACTTTGGGCTCTCTAACTTATTTTTGGTATCTAACATTGGTTATAGTATATATCTGACGAACTGATAAAAGACGTTTCGATTTACATGGACTGATCAAGATTAACACAGCGGGTTTATTCCAAGATGTGCTGTTCGATCCCTGTCTGGGATGATTTGTGTTTCTATGATATAACAAACCGTCATCTGCTTTAAAGTTGTACAAAAGACACACAAGTGATCAGCATTATTTTCAATACAAATTCTAAAGGTATAAAACGATAAATCAAACTGCCTCAGTCATGCTAATGGCCTAATCTTTGAAGTCTAGGAGACAACTGAGGAAAATCCGAAGTGATCGAAAGAAGGTTAATATCTATACGGGGAGGTGCATCAACCCCATAATTCAATTACTTTCTTTAGAAGTGCTGTTACCAGTGCTGTGAATTGAGATAATCAAATAGTGTTTTTTGACTGCAGCATGCACACACTGACAGTGTCTTTTCTGTAGGAGTTTCCTGTTATAGGTTGTAATCTATCTTTTAAAAATCATTTATGATCATCAGAAAATCAATATGTTTTAAAGTGCTCTTCTCTCATGCACTAAAAAGGAAATCTTACCTGAAATCTTCCTGAAGCGAGGAATATTTGTATCGTTGATTTATCTGCTATGCATGTTTTCCTAAGTGATATTCACTAAAGTATCACAGTTGACCTTTTTAAGGCGGAATCAAATAATCTTTATCAAATGCAAAGTCAGCTGCAGCTCTGTTGTAAATTATATAACATAACAAAGAAAATATATATACATGTCAGCAGAAACTAGGTAAAATCAAATTCAATAAACTAGAGCAAAATATAAAAGAAAAGAAATATCTCTTTGGGGATTTAAGAAAAATAAATACAATGAGATTAGGACCAGATATTGCAGAAGGGGTACCTCTTCTTCGTCGATGACAACCGTAATTCTATGTAAATCAAAGTGATGTCAGTTTTTGACATTAAAACAAGGATAGCAACAACGGAACCAACAAGCAAGGGGAGGGGGTTGGGGGTTGGGTGTGTAGGTAGGTGTATATATATGTGTGTGGGGAGGGGGGGCGTGGGTTACAGGTTTGGTATGATGGAATTATTCGATTTTTTCCGATGTGCACAAATACAAAAACAGAATATTCTCAGTATTAGGAGAACAAATACTGTCGTGATGTCATCAATTTTCGAAGTTATATTAAATATGTCTTCATAAACTAATGTGAATGACACCCATACTTAGTGTCTCTAGATCATACCGCATATCGACCGCATGCAATTTACGCTAACTAATTAAAAATTCAATAAACGGATTATAAAAAGCCTGTTGGAACTACGCATATAGATCAACATCATGCACAGTAAAGAACGGAAATAAATTAATATATACCACAGACTAAAACAAGGCTTTACAATCTACACAAAAACCTCAAGAGTGTATCGAAATTCAGCAGACCGTAACGGACTAAGCACGTTCGACTTTTTAACGGCGATTAGGAATATAGGGTCAATGAGAACACTACCTTTGGGAGCTTTGTTCATGTGACAACCCAGGCTTGCCAGGAAAATCACACCTGGCTTCGTTTTGAAGACGTGTTGAAATCCTGCTTTTGTATTCTATATATACAACAGGAACAAATCTTAGACGCGGTGTTTCAAACCATTCATTCCAAAATACGCCACTTTAAGAATATTAACGGAATCAGACAGCAAAGTAATGTCGGGTATTACATTTTGTAAATTGTGACAATTAAATTCTGTTTCCACACTCGTTCAGCTAATTGTTTTAATTATGTTTAGATGATATAATTGTGTATCATGAGAAAGGTAACGTATATCGAACGTATGTAA